TCCCTCCGCCTCCTCGCTGCGGGCTCGGGCTCGAGCCTGCCGGACGGCACAGAGGCCGTTAGTACCGCCAGGGGGTGCCGGGTCCGAGAAAGCGACCGCGGTGTCCCCTGAGACCCTGCTGGCAAGCCCCTGACGGGTGAGTGCTGTCGGGCAGCCGCGTCGATTTCAATCGCGTTGAATTTCCTCGAACGCTGAGGTCAGGCAGGTTCCGGGTGGAGACCTGGGAAGGAGAGGAGGCTCCCTGGGGACCCTTCTGTCCAGGACATGTTTACTGAAGGGGACTGTGACCGTGGATGTGGATGGCCTTCACCTCTCACCCGCTTCCGAAAAGCACAGGAGACAGCGACAGCCAAGGTTAGAAATCAGCCCCAAACCACTCCCAGGCGGGACTGTCTAGCTACCTTGGCCTAGAAAAGAAAGCTTTGAGTCTTTGAGGGTAAAACTGAGCCCTGGCTGGCTGCCTGCCTGGTGGAGGGGGCACCTGCTGCTGTCTGCGATGTGACCTTGGGCAGGCTCGTGGCCACCTGAGCACGGAGGGAGATGAAGTGAGAATGCCGGGTATGCAGGGGTGCTGCAGGACGCTGGTCTTCCCTCTCTGCCTCCCAGCAGCTCCGGGCAGTGAGGAGGGGGGTGTATGGTATGCCATTGGCACAAAGTTGCTGGTTTGTCTAGAGAAATCTAGTTGTTCCTTCTCCCCACCCCCCAACTCCCGCACTCCTGAGGAGCAGGACAGGTTGGACTGCGTCCCATTTGTTCGTGGGCGGGAACCCTGGAGCCCCCTCCCTGGGTCTCTGATGAGGGTAGGACAGACCTGCCTTCTTGTCGCGTCCTTGTTAGCAAAGGCTGCTTGTTCAGTGGGTAACAGACGGGCTCTTCTCATGAGCTCAGACAGCAGGAAGAAAACTGGGCCCGTGTTGGCGTAGCACCCCCTCTTTTTGCTCCTCAGTCCCCAGCTTACCCTCCCCAAAGCCTGACTCTGTGAATGGCTGGGCATTTCAGCGCTGGTAGAAATCGCCGCCGGCCTGGCGTGCCAGCCTGCTCTGCGATTTGCCGTGAGACTCAGCGAAGTCAGCGCACTGCTCGGACCGATGTTGAAGGCAGCGCCCACGGAGGCTCCTGGCCTGTGGCCAGCCAGTATGGCCCAGGTGTTAAGAACAAGGGAAGCTGCTGTGCGGGGGCACCAGCCCTGCCACTTCCTGGCCGGGGCGCTGGCTGCGTTATTTCACCTCACTGCTCTCGCTTCCTCCAGGGCCAGGAGAACCGCGCTGGCCTGTGAGGGTGTGGTGGGGTTCGGGAATGAAGACACGCTCGCCGTTAGGACAGTGTCCGCATCTGGAGCGCGCGATCTGTGGCTGTCATCACCGCGCCGCGTCCTTAGCTTCATGGTATTTTCAAAGTCAGACCCTCGTAAAAACTAGGGCTCGTCCACTCGTTGGTCACAGTGGAGGGCCTAGGTTTGGGAGCTGGACAGAGCCAGGTCTGGTCCTTAGCCATTCACTAGCTGTTTTACCATGAGATCAATGAGCCCGTCTGTAAAACAGGGCAGTGACAGCCTGGACAAGAGGTGGTGGGATGAAGGACGTGGCCTGTGTAAGTCCCTCCGCTTGGTGCCAGCGCCATAGTCTGGGACCCAGAGTGACTGTCACCCTTCTAACCTAGATCTAGTCAAAGGTGCAGTTCAGATCCAGCTTCAAACGGTAGATATTTGGTAGTCTCTGCCGCTCGCCAGGCGGAGGCCACAGGGAGGCTCAGGTCCGATCTGCAGCCCCCCTCAGAAATCAGGCGTGGCTTGCTCCTGCAGACGCAGCTACTCACAAGGCTGAGGTGGGAGGATTGAGGCATAGCAAGACCTTATCCAAAATAAATAAATAAATGAGAGAAGCCAGGTATTTGTATATTTGTAGGACATGGGCTAAATGACGTGATGTTTCAGATTGTAGATGGCAAAGGGACACGAGGTAAATCTGGACACTTCGAACAATCTGATTATTTCAGCTCCGCGTGAAAGAGTTCTCTGTAGCGCAGTGTGCCCGCCCCCCTTTCCCATGTCTCTCTTCCAGCACCTGCCAGCAGGGCCTGCATTAATGAACTACCTAGTCATGACGAGTGCTCAGGACTCCTGTCTCGTTGTAGGGCCGCGATCCCGTCACGATGGAGACAAGCAGGCAGACACGCGTGTCTCGGCCGTACAAGATCAGCGAGTCTTCGAAGGTCTGTGCAACTGCCCCGGGAGTCGGATGGTTTCCTGATGAGCTCATTCGCGAGGCGCAGACAGCTGTTTTGTTGTTGACTTGTTAGTTTCCTTAAAGAGAAGTTGGGGTGTAAACAGGCAAGGGCCCGGAAGCATGACATCAGGGAGAACTGGAAGTGGAGGGGCTTTAGACTGCCTGGTGGTCTGGTATCTCAGAGTGCCGGTCCAGAGCTGCCTGGGTCACAGCTTGACTCACTTATTCTGTGCATCAACCCTAGGAGGGGACAGGATAAGAACCTTGGATTTAGGTCACCTAGGGGCTCAGAAATTCCAAGGACATGCCCATTGATCACCCAGCCTCCTTCCTTATGGGTGAGGGTGGCGCACCGTGTACCTGACTGGCGAGGGCCCCGAGTCCTCTTCCTTGATCACGGCTCTCCAAGGTGCCCTCTCCCAGTGGGGCTCTCAACCCACATCCCACTGGCCGCATCAGAATCCCCCCTGAGTAGGGGCAGGTGACTAACTAGAGCTAAGCGTGACTGGTCCCACCCCAGACTTGGTCCCCACAACTGCTGTAGACAAAGACCAGGGGACCCATCTGCAGTGGTCCCTATTTATGCCTATCTCCTCGTTATACATATTTATAATGCCCTCTTTTCCTTGAAGGTGTCTCTTCCAGGGATTGAATTTTACGGGAACCTTAGATGGCGCGTTCCCAGTGGAGGCCTGCTGCCCCCACGGGGTAGAGCTGGCTCTCGTGGGTGCCGGAGGGGTTTCCTTTGAACACGGAGCACGTGTGCGCGTACTGTAGCTGAGACACGTATGGTGTCTCTGTGGTGGTCAAGTGCGTGTGTGGGGTCGCGATGAGGGAAACATACCCTAAAGGGCTTCTTGGGGGTAATCATGAGAAAAGGCAGAGAAACTGCTTTAGATCGAGGGAGGGGCGAGCAGCCTGTAGTTGGAGGCAAAGGGAAGGGAGTTCCAGATGTACGGAAGGAAGAAAGCACCCCTGTCAGGAGCCGTCGGCCCTCCCGGGACATGCTCTCCCATTCCTTCCCATCCCTGCTCGCCTCTTGGCGGAGGCCCCTGCCAGCCCAGCTGTGTCTACCGTGGACACCCAGAAAGGTCTCCGCGCTCAAAGGGGCTTTGTTCCCGAGCTCGGCCGCCCAGACAGCGTGGCTTTCTAAGGTTGATAGCATCAGAAATCTTCGTCCCTCACCGGCAGATTCGGAACTTGTTTCTCTGAATGAAAGCTCTGAGGAATGGGGTTCTCTGTCCGGCGGTGGATTCTGTTATGTTTCTACCTATTTAGTTTTTAAAGCACCCTAGTCCTAAGTGCACCCCTGGGCCTCTGGACATCAAACACTCACATGTAGCCAGTGCCCAGACAGGAACCACGGAGCACGTTACCAAGTCCTGGTCACTCCCTGGGCTGAGCCCCTCTGCCCACGTCCACCACTGCTTTCGCCACTTTGCACTTGTGTAGATGGACCCATGGGGGGGAGTGTCCATGCACGTCTGACTTCCCTCCCCCACCCACGTGGCCGTGTGCCGTGGAGGCGACTGCATTCGCATGGCGAAGTCCTCTTGCCGTGCGAGCCTTGGGTCACCGATGGCCTCAGTCCAGTGCCGGGCTATTTTTGAACATATTGTCCCTGGGGCCTGCTGCCTCCTCTGCAGAGTGAGCCCTGACCACCCGCGTTCCCTCCTCCCCATCCACACGTTTGAATAAGGGACTAAAGAAAGGAAAGAACAGGACGAAGGAGACTGTCAATCCCATCAGAGAAGGTTGGGGTCGGCGCCTCAGAATTTCCCGAGGTGCTGAAGCTCTTATCCGGCATGCCTTGGAAAGTGTGTTTTTCTGAAGCTGTTACCTAAGCATCTGGGCTGAAATGGCAGCCCTGGGCAGAGTAGGGCCGGGCAGAGAGAGCCGCCCATGCCTCTCACTAGCATGGAGACCCGGCCTGAGCGCGATGCCGCTGTCCCCCTGGCCTGGCTCACAGCAGATGGCTCCCTTCCGCAGCTGTTGTCTGGGCCTGTCCCAGGCCCTGCCCCCGGCTGTTTCCCTCTGTGTACCGCAGCCTGGGTGCTGTCATTGCAGCGCAGGGTCCGGCACCTTTACCTGCTTAGGGACAACCAGGGGCCCACCTGGTACCTCTCACTTCTCTCAGGATACTGAGCCTTTCTGGTATTTTTTTAAAAATAATTATTTATTTAATTGTATTTATTATTCTTATTTTAAAATTTCGCTAGAGAGCACACACATTCATGAGAGAGAGACAGAAAGTGAAAAAGCAAGCTGCCAGGTCCAGTACTCGAACCATGGCCAACCACGTGAGAGTCCATCACCTTAACCACCCTGCCACCTGCTGGCCTGACTTACTGGTATTGATCACCTGCAAATGTCCTTCCTTCTGTCCACATCCAAGAGGGACTCAGGCCATGCTGCTTAACTAGAAGCCAAAGCAGGCCAGCCCAGCTGTCTGCAAGTCACCAGAATAAGCAGAGGCCACCGCGGAAGACCCTGGGGCCCCATCCCTCTGACCCTGTCAGGGGAGGACACCGCAGCTAATCCCTGTTGGCAGCCTCATCTGATATGGGGACACACCCACTCCTGTGACACAGACAGCATTGGCATCGGGCTTGACCGGAGGTGGAAGGGCCACAGGGAAATTAAGTGTCTTGACTGTGAAGGCATCGGTGGCAATAAAGAGCAGATTCCAAAGGGAGTTAGGAGAACCACCAGAACCTCTCTGCGGGCGCGTGCTGAGAAGCGGCTCGTGGAGGCGGAGGCGGAGCCTGAGCGCACCTGCCGCCCGCTAGGCCGCCAGGCGGTTTTTCTCTTCCCACCACTTTCTTTTCTTTTCTTTTTTTTTTTTTTTTGAGAGGTTTTTAGCTATAGGGCGCCTGCGCTCGCCAGACAGAGAGAGACATAGAGACAGAAAGCGAGAAATCACCACCCAGGGGGGATGGTCATGCCGCAATCCCTTCTCCTCCATTCTCCTCTCGGGATCTTGGGCACACACGCACACGTGCCCTGCGTGAGTTTTAAGCCACCGGGTCCGGGACGCAAACCACAGTGGACTACGTGGGAGTCCAGCAACATAGCCATTACTAACTGCTAACTGCTGGTTCCCTCTTCCCACCACTTTCCACCTTTTTGGGCGTAGTGCCCAGCCAGTCCTCAGACAGCCCCCTATGTGATGTTTGGACTGGTCTGATTTCCACAACATGGAATTTTCTTGTTTTTGTTTGTTTGTTTTAGTTATAAATAAAGCCGTTTGCAATACCCTGAAACAATGGCCAGTCAGTCCTCTGGGGATTAGAAGCTGCCGTCCAGTCTGACATATCTCCGTGGCCTCCAGAGCACATGTCAGGTGCCTAGCACTCTGAAGATGTTGTCTACCTGAATTTACTGAGTTACTCCATACATTAATTACTCATTTTAAATGAATGTGCTTGTTAATTCCAGGATAGCATGGTGATTAAAGGTTTGGGGTCAAACCTAGGTTCAAATCTTAGCATTGCCACTCAGTCTTTGTTTTTTTTTTAAGAATTATTTAACTTTATTTATTTATTTATTTTAATTTGACCTGAGAGAAACAGAGTGAGAGAGAGAGAGAGGAATAGTGAGAGGGAAAGTGAGAAAGCAAGCTGCCAGGTCCAGGACTCGAACCGCCGTCAGCCATGTGGGCGTCCAGTGCTCTTAACCACCACGCCACCTGCTGCCCCCACCACTCAGTCTTGTCTTAGTCTCTCTGCGCCTTGGTTTTCCAAATCTGGAAAATGGGGATTAGAATAGAGGTTCCCTCGGAGGTCACCGTGATGCTCGAATGAGAGCGTGAGTGAGGATATGTCATAGCGTGAACTCGGGCAAAGCCAGCGTGCCCACACCTTACATACCGTGTTTCCTTCAGCCCTGGCGGGAACTGAGGCCACCTTCCTTGAGGCAGGAGCCCCAGAGCCTGCAGTCCAGATATGTTGCTAAGTTTCTAGGACCTGCCACTCCTGGGACCGAGTGGTAGGAACGGCATGCCGGTGTGTCCAGCACCGTAGGAGACACAGCCCGTCTTCCTGGCCGGAGCCTGGGGGCGCGGACGATCTCCACAGCTAACATCCCTCCAGCTCCTGCTGAGCAGCCCCATGCTCAGCTCTGGCTCATTAACCCCCAAACGTTGCCAAATGCCCTCCTCCACGCTCCTGAGACAAGGACAGGGAGCCCTAGGGACTTTGCGTGACTCACCCCAAAACGACCCAGCTCGTAGGTGGCGGAGCCAGGACGCAGACCAGAGCCTGTTTAATCTGAGGGAGATAGCCAGAGCAGGTCCGCTTCCCTGGGGGGGCAGCCTTGCCAGCCCTGCTTGTCAGGGCCCACAGCAAGAGAGACAGGGCGGGGGAGGGAGGAGAGAGAAGAAAGCGAGAAGGGAGAAGGGGCAGGGAACAGAAGGAAGCTTTAGGACTTGTGTTATAGTGAAGAAGGAGGGACACGTGCTTGCACACACGTGCACTCAGACGCCTGTATCTCCTGTGGCGTACTCTGAGGTTCCCTTTCCTGCTCTCTCCAATTTTTTTTTTTTAACATGCTGGCTGTGCCCCACCGGGTAGGTTCCAGGCCCTCAGCGGGCTGCAGCAGGGTGGGCTGGTGGCCTCTGTCCCTGACATGCCTCCCCCTCACAGGTGTACCGCTGGGCCGACCACTCGGCCACCGTGCTGCAGCGGCTGAATGAGCAGCGGCTCCGCGGCCTCTTCTGTGACGTGGTCCTGGTGGCAGACGAGCAGCGCGTGCCGGCCCACCGCAACCTGCTGGCCGTGTGCAGCGACTACTTCAACTCCATGTTCACCATTGGCATGCGGGAGGCTTTCCAGAAGGAGGTAGAGCTGGTGGGCGCCTCCTATATCGGGCTCAAGGCCGTGGTGGACTTCCTGTACGGTGGGGAGCTGGCGCTGGACGGCGGCAACATCGACTTCATCCTGGAGACGGCCCACCTGCTGCAGATCTGGACAGTGGTGGACTTCTGCTGCGAGTACCTGGAGCAGGAGGTGAGCGAGGACAACTACCTGTACCTGCAGGAGCTCGCCTCCATCTACAGCCTCAAGCGGCTCGACACCTTCATCGACAGCTTCATCCTGAGCCACTTCGGCACGCTGTCCTTCACGCCCGACTTCCTGCAGAATGTCTCCATGCAGAAGCTCTGCGTGTACCTGAGCAGCAGCGAGGTGCAGCGGGAGTGCGAGCACGACCTGCTGCAGGCCGCCCTGCAGTGGCTCACGCAGCAGCCCGAGCGCGAGGCCCACGCCTACCAGGTGCTGGAGAACATCCACTTCCCACTCATCCCCAAGAACGACCTGCTGCACCGGGTCAAGCCGGCCGTGTGCTCGCTTCTGCCCAAGGAGGCCAACTGCGAGGGCTTCATCGAGGAGGCCGTGCGCTACCACAACAGCCCGGCTGCGCAGCCCGTCATGCAGACCAAGCGCTCGGCGCTCCGCACCAACCAGGAGCGCCTGCTCTTCGTGGGCGGCGAGGTCTCTGAGCGGTGTCTGGAGCTCAGTGACGACACCTGCTACCTGGACGCCCAGAGCGAGCAGTGGGTCAAGGAGACGCCCCTGCCAGCCCGGCGGAGCCACCACTGTGTCGCTGTGCTGGGGGGCTTCATCTTCATCGCGGGCGGCAGCTTCTCACGGGACAACGGAGGGGATGCGGCTTCTAATCTTCTTTATAGGTATGACCCCCGCTGTAAACAGTGGATCAAGGTGAGATTAAAGCTAGATTATTTCTCTACTCCTGAGGACTCCTTGATTCCCTTAACCTAGCCTGGCCTCCCTCCTCCTCTCGAGCCTTGACAACTGTCCTCTTCTGCACGAGGTGTGACGATAAAGGACGAGCAGTGCCCTCCCGCCTCCCCCGTGCCCAGGTCCGGGCGGTGAGGGCTGACACTGCCTTCTGGGGGCTGTCATGGCCCGGGCTGCAGTACCCGCCAGCCACGTGTGGCCAGTGTCACGGAAGAGCTGAACTTTCCATTTTGTTTCATCGTAATGAATTTCTATTCAAACATCAGTGGCCACATGTGGCCAGTGGCCAGCCTGCTGGGTAGTGCTGGTACAGAGGTCCTGGCCCTGCTGCCCAGCAGTGGTCCTGTGTCTCAGCATCTCTGCTCAGCTCCTCTTGGGAAGGCCTTGGGAGCTAATTCGGGGGGCCACGTGGGCTCCCGCCTGGCCCCTTGGCAGGTAGCGTGGCCTGATTCTGGGAGAGTCTGGGCCTTGGCCTCAGACCTGAGGTCCATCCCAACAGGCCGAATCGTGGCTGGGTGTTTTCAGACTGGTTTCTTGCTCTGTCCAAATTTCGGACTCTTTGTCTGGACACCAGCTTTCCAGGGCCAGAGTCTGGTTGTTGGGCAAGCCCTTGACATGGGATGGCACCCACTTTCTCCCACAAATGCCTTTCAAGACTGCTACCCACCAAAGGCTGACTCCGTCTTTATACTCACACCTCAGCAGTTTTACTTAACGTGGTGTTTTCTGAGCTCAGAACTCAGTCGGATTGGATTCCAGGTGACCTTTGAATCGTGTTCTCCCAATCCTGAAACCGTGCTCTCAGGCCTACGTCTTGCGGCTAGAGAGAGGCCCCCAGCTTCCGAGCTTGCCCTTGAGAGCTCGGTGGCAGTTCCCGGAATGAGTGGCCTGCAGTGAGACCGTGCTCATTGGTGTGTTCTGCTGAGATTAAACATCAACAACAATTAAAAGAACTGGGCCTTCTATTTTTTCATTTCTCATCAGGCACCACTTTCTGCTGCTAACTAGGATGTTAATCAGCATTCATTTTTTTTTTTCTTTTTAAGTTTGCTATAGGGTGTATATACTCTCTGGAAAGAGAGATTGAGAGATAAAAAGAAAGCACCCCCCAGGGGATGACCAGGTCTCAGTCTCTTAGGAGTTTTGGGCGTGCACACACACGTCCGGTGTGTTTTTCAGGCTGCTAGATCCAGGACTCAAATTGCACAGTGGGCCATGTGGCCCACCCACCCTAGCCACCATGCCACCTGACTGGCCCCAGCATTCATTTAAAATGTCTGATTTTGAGGGGGAAGAGGAAAAGATCCATTTTTATTTCTGGAGACCACTAACGGGGTAGTTCTGAACCCCGGGTCCTGCAGAATTCTAGTCCCTGAGACCAACCATGTGGTCAAGCGAATTTGAGGAGCCACCTGTGTCTCCATCCCCTCCTGGGACGCAGGTGCCTCAGTGGGACTCAGGGCTCTGAGACGTTCCTCCTGAGGACTCCTCGCTCAAGCTCAACTCCCCTTCCCAACCTGCTTGGCCACGACCTCACCTCCCCCGGCGATGTGCTGTCGCCACAGTTGGGGTACACGGTGCCAGGTGCTGACGCGTCCTTGGTCAGGGAAGGGAAGGTACAGGTGTCTCGCCTCCACAGGTGGCCTCCATGAACCAGCGCCGCGTGGACTTCTACCTTGCCTCCATCGAAGACATGCTGGTTGCTGTGGGTGGCCGGAATGAGAACGGAGCTCTGTCTTCAGTAGAGACGTACAGTCCCAAGACCGACTCCTGGTCCTACGTGGCTGGCTTGCCGAGGTAATTGGGCTTTCATGGCAGACCCTTCAAACACGATGCTTTTACGGCGTATACTTTAGGTCACCCACTTCCTGGGTATTTTGGCATCCGATTCTAGGGGGAAATCTCTCAGCTTGGAAGGAGCAGAGGGAGGCCAGGGGTGCAGAGGGCATGGTGAGGACGGGTCCGGCTCTGGTTTTAGATGAGCTGAGTGCAGGTGTCAGGTCTCCTGCCAAGACAAGCACCCCTTGTTGCCACGTCTCTTCAGTTCAGAAGAGTTGCGGAGCGTGAGCACGGCCTTCAGATAGGGGGACTCGCCTGAAGGTTCCTGTGACTTGGTCAGGGGAGTGAAAAGGGGCAGGGGAATATCTGCACTGGCTCTGCGTCCTCACCCCGTCTTTATGTCCCCGTCTGGAGCGTGGGGAGGGTGGTAACACCTGCCGTTATGTCCTCGTGAAGGCTGGGTGAGACGCTGCTTGGACGGCCAGCGTGGCGCCCAGCCTGCGGGGAGTGCCCTGGGCTTAGCAGCTCTTACCTGGGTTCGCAGTCCTCCCCGCAGCCGAGGGAGCATTTACTGAGCATTTATTGTCTTCACGGGCTTAGCAGAAGGCGGACGCTCTTTCACAGAGTCAGTCTTGCGGTGGAATACATCCAGTCAGAAGGGTCCAGGATAAGGGTGCACATTTGAACGTCACGCTTGGGGTATGGTCATCCTGGCTCCTCTGGTCCCTGCGCGGCCACCTTCGTGTAGAGCTGCCAAGAGGCTGGTGAGCTAGTACCCAGACACTAGTTAGCAAGATGGCAGGAGCTCTCGTGGTGGCCCTGCGCCACCTCTGGGCAGGTGTCCACCGCACGCCTCTTGATATCCATAGTAACCTGCTAGAGTAGAGGGACTCCTGGGATAGCTCGTCACTTAAACCAGGATGACAGTGGATGGGGCAGGTCCTATCCCAGGCTAGCCAGGACCCCTGGCCGACCTCGGTTCATTCCGTTGTACAGATGGAGACGTGCAGCTTAGGGTAGTGGTGAGATGCCTGCTGTCATTGCTCTCTCGGGGTGGCTGTGTCACAGCACCACACCTGGGCCACCACAACGCCAGTACGAGGTTTCCATTCTAAATGGGCAGAAGGGCTCGGTTCTCATGCCCCGCTCTGACCTGGGTGCATCGATGTCTTCCTTTATTCGCTCATTCTGTGATGAGGCTTTCTTGAACCCACAGCCCCACCCTGAGCCGGACATGGGCGCACCTCCCACCGCCCTGGGACCTGCCTGAGCATGCGCTGTCCCGAGGGCTTGCTCCCCCTCCATGCCTGTGCCTCTCGGCTAAGTAACCACTGCTGAGTTGTCTGACATCTCCCTTGGCTTTTCTTTACACCTGTGTTTGCACTTTGGTTTTAGTGTTTTTTCCCTTTACAGAAGACTTGATGTTTTGAGCAGTTTAAGGTTTGCAGAAAATCACACAGGAAGTAGGGTTTCCAGGTACCCTCTCCCACCCGTGGGCACTTTCTCCCCCATCGGGAGCTTCTTGCACGGGTGGGTACACTTGTTACAAGTGATGGACCACATGCCTCTGCCCTACTATAGACAAGTCCTAGGGGACACAGGCTCGTCCTGGTGGTGCACCAACGCGGGGGCTGACCAACGCTCAGTGACACGTCTGCCGTTGCAGTGTCATGCGGAGCGGCGTCTCTGTCCCAGAGAGTCCCTTGTGCTCTGCCTCGCTGTTCCAACACCACCGCAGAGACCGCCAATCTCGTGGTCTCTCTGATCTGTCTCTTCCAGAACGCCGTCACAGTTGGGATTAGGCTTTGCATCCCTGATAAGTAGCTAGATTGGGTGCAAGTGCGTGCCTCACTACCACGCATTCCAGTCGTTTCAGGCATTATGAGAAGCTCTGATATGATCCCCAGTTCCCAGAGGGGCAAACAGAGCGTCAGAGAAGGCCTAGCTGGGACTCCAGCCCAGGGGATGAGCCTGCTGAGCTGCCCACCTCCCTGCTCTGCCCTGCCTGCCTCTCCAGTGCCGGCCACGAACTGTTCGTGGGGCGCGTGCTCCCTGCATTCTGAGGCCCGAGAGGGCCGAGCACACTGTGCAGAGCCGACTGCCTGCAGGGCGAGCCCGGGCTCTGAGCTGCTCTCTGCCCTCCGTCCGCAGGTTCACCTACGGCCACGCGGGCACCATCTACAGAGACTTCGTGTACATCTCGGGGGGCCACGACTACCAGATTGGTCCCTACCGCAAGAACCTGCTGTGCTACGACCACCGCAGCGACGTGTGGGAGGAGCGGCGGCCCATGACCACGGCGCGTGGCTGGCACAGCATGTGCAGCCTGGGCGACAGCATCTACTCCATCGGGGGCAGCGATGACAACATCGAGTCCATGGAGCGCTTCGACGTGCTGGGCGTGGAGGCCTACAGCCCGCAGTGCAACCAGTGGACGCGCGTGGCGCCGCTGCTGCACGCCAACAGCGAGTCGGGCGTGGCGGTGTGGGAGGGCCGCATCTACATCCTGGGCGGCTACAGCTGGGAGAACACCGCCTTCTCCAAGACCGTCCAGGTGTACGACCGTGAGGCCAACAAGTGGAGCAAAGGCCCTGACCTGCCCAAGGCCATCGCCGGCGTGTCCGCCTGTGTCTGCGCCCTGAAGCCGCGGCTGGAGGACAAGGACAAGAAGGGCGCGCCCGCGCCCGCCGCCCACCGCGCCCACCCCCAGAGCACCCGGACCAGCAGCGACTTCCTAGAACCCTGGAAACATTATGTACTACTAGCAGCTTTTTTACTTTTATGATTCTTGGTATTTCTATATCTCAGTAACCGATTAAATATGTATGTAACTTTCGTACTATCCTGCCTGAATAATTAAACCGGGGCGAGGCAGTACACGTCCCTTACACCTTACACCCTCTTCCCACACGGCGAGCCTCATGCGTCCCTCCCACAGCCGTCCTGGAGAGCGCCTGGCACACAGGTCTCGCTCAGCGTTCTGCGGTTAAACTTGGGGGAGGTTTCAGATCTCCTAGTTCAAGCCTCCCTAACCCACCTGAGCCTTTAGAAACAGGGATTCCTGGGCCCCACCTCGAATGACCAAGCCCACAGCTCCCAGGAGTGGGGTGGGAGGGATGCCCCGAAACTATGGTAACCTCTTCTGGAATTCTGAGCATCAGCCGCGTTTGGGAACCCCAGCCGGGTTGCGCACGTCTGCTGTGGCTGAGGACAGGCTCCACAGGGATAGCCCGGACAGTCAGGAGAAGCATGGGGACTTCCTGCCAGGGAGCTGTTTTTACTAGGCTTTCCGTATCAGAATAATCGCATTTTTCCTGGTTGGCATTCTTTCTGAGTCCTAAAAGTTCATAGGTAACCTAGAAAGCAAGTGAGAAAGCAAAACAGCATGACGCTCTTTGCCAACCTTGTTCTGTTCCTGCCTCTCCTCCCCAGCCACCTGTCTCCTATTACTGATGTACTGAGCTCTCCAAATCTACATTGATTCTTGGAAAAGAACGTGAGCCTTGTAGGGTGTGCACGGGTTTCCTAGGACTCGAGCTGGGAAGGCCTCAGGAACTGCCCAAAGGCAGGCTGACCTCTGAGCAGCTTGGTAAGCATCCCCCCAACTCCGGCGAGAAGTCCTGCTCCCGCTCCTCTGCTTCTACGCAGTTTTGTGCAGCAGGCAAATTCTTTAACATGTCTCGATCTGCCCCTCGTCGCTATGGAACGGGGCTGGATGTAGCAATCACGGCTCTCCCAGGCGCAGTGTCCTTGCGCCCTGTGTCAGCTGCAGAGGCGGGTCTGGCCCCTCTCTGGGAGAGGCTGAGGGCCCCGAGGACAGCCGTGTGACCGCTGCCCGGCCATGTCCAGTGCGAAGTACTGCGGGAGCTGGGCATGTGACCGGCTTCAACCTGAGCCACGGCAGAGATCAGCTGCAGAGGCGAAAGCGTCAGGGTTTCTCATGAACGCTCACATTAGCACGGGGAAATCTCTGGGAACCTTCCCTTCTGATTCTCCCGTCTCTTTGCTATACTCCCTTTCCGTCCCGTCAGCGTGTAGTGTGTTTCGATTGGCCGGCTTCCGGTAACCCAGGAGGGACGAGAGCCACACGGGAGTCGGGTGTTTGGGTGCTGCGATGCCCAGGCCACCGCCCTGGCTCGCTGACCAGGCGAGAAGTCTGCGTGTTAGCTGGTATTTGCACACGGAAGTCCCGAGAGGCTCACACACACCACAGTAGGGAGGCTCCCAACTTCCTTAGCCTGAAACTTTTATCCCACACCTCGTCCCACACTCACATGCGACACATTTTGTAGAACTTCTGCCACCTTTAGGATTATTTGCCCCTTCCTATTGTGGGAAAGGTTTTATCGGATGAAGGCCCAGTGTGGCCCGTTCTCCCAGCTCAGGCCAGGTCGGGGACAAGCGGGCGGTGGTTCAGGCAGGATCGCGGGGCTGGGAGAACACAGGAAGGCTGCGAGCGTGTGCAGTACCTGGGGAGGAGATGCTGGGTTTTCGCCTAAGCTGGCTCTTTCTCATTTTGTCGCGGGGCTCGTCCTGGAATAAGGACGTGGTGCAGGATCGGGTCGAGTGTCCTGTGCCTTGTGACGTCCTGCACCCGGTGTTCGGGGATGTCGCTCCAACACCGTTAAAGTAGTTCGTTATGTGCGTGGTTTAAATCTAATCATATTGAGGTGAGAGTGTTTTTGTTTTCTTTTTAGTTTTGCTGTAGGGCACGTGTGCTCATTGGAGAGAGAGAGAAAGGGAGAGAGAGAAGGTGAGAAGTCAACCTTCGGTGGGGATGGCCATGCTGCAGTCCCATCTCCTCCATTTTCCTCTTGGGATTTTGGGCACACACGCACATGTGCTCAGGGTATTTTTCAAGCCTCTGGGTACGGGACTAGAACCACACAGTCAGTCATGTGGAATGCAGCTACCTTCCCTACCTCGTCACCAGCCCGAGAGTGTTCCTTTAGAGAGATTGAGGGACCGGGAGATGGCGTAATGGTTGTCACTGGACTCCCACTGAAGTTTGAGCCCTGGACCCAGAGGTCTAAAACTCACGCCACGAACGTGTGTGTGCGTGCCCCAAATCCCGAGAGACAAGTGGAGGAAAAGGGATTGTGGTGTGGCCATTCCCCCTGGAGGGTGATTTTTTGTTTTCTGTCTCTCTGGCAAGCGCATGCACCCATCGCAAAAGCAAAAGAAGAAAAAATCGCTCTTAAGAAAAGAAAAAGGAGAGTGATAAAACGACTTTCATTTGTGGCCCAACTTCAACCAGCTGGTGGGTTTTGAACTTGTTAGGGTCCCGGATGGGTACGGGGGAGCCAAAGGCTGGTTGCGGGTCAAGGTTTTGTTACTCAGGATTTTCAGCTGGGAATTCACTCTGCTGCATTGCCCCTGGAAGAGTGGGAGGTCCCAGCTCCTCAGGGTGGGCCTGGCCGTCCCCGCCGACCGACCGACTGCCCTGCTCTCCGGACCTTGAACTGGGAAGTTACGTCACGTTTGCCACCCTGTGGCTGCCCTGCTGCTCCAAGCTGCTCCACCTGAATTTGGAGCCACCTAGGTCTCCTCTTCTCCTCTTCCTCCGTGGCTTCTTTCAAAACATGCTGGGATTTATTCAGTCTTTATTTCCCTCACTTAAGAATCAGAGTTTTAATTTCATATTAGCTGTAGGTTTGGCATTCGAGCCTCACCCAGGTCGGGGCCCTGCTGTGATGGTGAGAAGGGAAGGAGGGCCGGACGCTGACGGGCCCTTAGAAGGCAGCGTGGTCTCGCCGCTGTTGACAGCACACCTGGACTGTGGAACCAGCGTACCTGTGTCAGCGTCCTGTGGGGTCTCCACCCTCCCCCCATTTAATGAGACGGGGGCGCGGGGCTTCTAGACCTGAATCGGAGCAGAACCACGTGTGTGATATTCCGAATGAATGCCCCTTCCTGACGAGGTGACCTCAAGGTGGCTTAGTTGAGACCCCAGAAGCTAACTCTGATGGGTGTTCAGGTGGAGGGTGGGCCGCAGATGCCGAAGGGAGTGGAGTCTCTCCCGAGTCCTACTCTGAGTTCAGGTGTGCTGACCGGGGCTTCCGAGTATCTCAGCTTCTCCGCCACCCATGACCGTCAGTGATCTGCAACACGTGGGAGTGGACCACTCTGGCCCCTTGGAGAATGGCCGGCCTTCGTGTCTTTCCTATCGTCCATGGGCTCGACTTCGCGGGCCTTCTGGCTCTCAGCTTTGGGCTGGAAGCTCAGCTGTTGGTTCCTAACCTGGAGGGGTGGAGGCAGCTGTGGTCTGGGCCTCCTGGCATTTCTGTGGATTCCAGGGCCTCGGAGGGGAGAGGCAGCACCCTAGCCTCCTGAACAAGCCCTGGCATAGGGTGCTCAGAGGCCCTGGCCCATGCCTCTTCCAAGCCTGGCCGTTTTTAGACTTTTTAAAAGTGCTTTGATACTTTTTGATACGATTTGCTAATAACTGTTTATAGAATGCCTTCCAGGGTTTTCCTCCTCCTCCCTACCTCCGACCCCCTCATTCATACTGGACAGCAAGCGTCCTGTGGTCAGTGCCAGGACCTGCCACATGGGGCCTCGTCTTGGGCCTCGCCCTTCCCATGGCTGATCTGATAAACCTAGAATCTCGTAAGGGTGCACATGTCCGGCCAGTGAGGGTGACCATCCGTAGGCCCCAGCTGGGCAAGAGGGTGCTGATTGGCCAAGAGACCCCTTTAACTCCTTGGAGGTCTGCATCTCTTCTGAAGCGCCTACCTCAGTGCGTGCACAGCGTGGAGAGACACGTGGGCAACCCGCGTAGCACCTTTCTCATACGGTCATTTCTCCATCACGCGGAGGGCGGGGCCTGGTCTACTCTCCACCCCGCTGTTAAGGGGTCCGAGCGTGGAATCCAGAAGCTGAAACAGCAGCCCTCGCACCTCCCAGCCGCCCTCGGGCTTAGAGTCCATTTCCTTTAGTTCATTTGGTTTTGCTTTATTTTCATATGGATAGAACTGGTGACTTCTGAGGGTCTCTGGGGGTCTTAAGAAATGACCCTTTGGTTGCCTTACTTAAAGGAGAACGAGTGAATGTACAGCGATGGAGGAGAGGGGAAAACCTTCTGGTATCAGTTTTCTCTGAGAAGAGAAACTCCGCCTTGCTAGAGTGACTTGAGGCTGACTTCCCCGGTCCGCTGCTGTGGGGGAAGAGTAAAGTCCCTTGGATTGATTGAGGTTAATGATCAACCACCAGTCCCCTTGCAAACCAGTGAGATATCTGATGATTAAGTAATCCGTTGGAAGTGTTCTGGAGCCTAATATTACTGAAATCCGGACCCGTGTGCGTTTCTTAATTTGTTGCTTCCGTATTTGTAATTTTATGACAGTCAAAGTTTTTGTGTCTTACCTCTTTTTAATTAATTTTCTGCATGTTGCTTTTTTTCTTGGTTTTTAATTCCATACAGAGTATTCAGTTCTGGAAGCACATTAAACAACTGGCCTGCTAGGGTGCAGATTCTTTTATAATGACGTTCTTAGTCTTGTGTGGCTATTACTGTGACCTGCAGTCCTGTTTCTCTGCCGTGTGGATTCCAAACATCATTTGAAAATTAACCAGACTTTATTTTAGTGGCGTGGGAGACTAAGACATTTTCAATTCCACTTATATTGTGCTTCTAATTACCATGTTTTGCCAGGAATTTCATTCAGATCTTTGATTGCAATACTAAGTCTCCATGACCTAAATCTATTTCTTAAATTTGTGTCACTTGGGATAATTTAATTAGAAAAGAAAAATACAAGGACCAGCAGATGGTGTAATGGCTAC